TGTGGGGGGGGACAGGGAAGGGGGCGGGGAGGGGGGGCGGGGGGGGGGAAAGAGAGAATCAGGCGATCTCGTTGTGGTCGTCGTCGGATCTCTCCCTGTCCGGTTCGCCCTGCCTATACCTCTCCCCTCGATCCAGCTTCCTCTGGTAGAGCCTGGGCTGCTGGGGTGACTCGGGCGGAGGCGTTCCCTTCCCCGCTCACCTTTCCAGTTTCACGACATTGATCATAAACGGCCGAGTCATCAGAATGCTACACCTCGTTAACTCTTTGTAATGCAGATGAGCGGCAGGGACAGAGGCTCGGGCCAGGGTCTGGAATATTCCCCCTTGTGCTCCCCGACGGGTAACAAATAACAATACAGGGCCACTAGCTTGCTAAAAAAAATAAAAAGTAGATTTTAACAAAAAAAAAAGTGGGAGGAGGGGCGGCGAACGTTTTAACCAGATATAATTTATGGGCTCATATCAACTTCTTGAAATTATTTTGGATCGGTGTAACATTTTAGGGAACAATTCAGGTAATATTTGAAGTATGCCACAATACTGCTTCATACATTACAAAACTCTCTACACAGATATTTTTCTCTAGTCTAAAGGACACTACATGAAACCTGTAGGTAAACCCTGCAAATAGATTGTTTTGTGTAGAATCACATGCATTTTGCTATTTTGTTAAATATACATGGTGGAGGATACACGTCAAGCAACTATGGAAAGAACGACTTTCCTCAATATATCTGTGAAGATTCTCAGGTTTTGTTAAATATACATGGTGGAGGACACACTTCAAGCAACTATGGAAAAAACGACTTTCCTCAATATATCTATTAAGATTCTCAGTCATCCTGGTGAGATTGTCGGGAAGTTGACTCATGGCACCTGGACTTATTTCTTATTAGATTGAAATGTTTTGCTTCTCATCCAAGTAGCTTCTTCAGACTGAGGAAACTACTTGGATGAGTAGCGAAACATTTCAACCTAGTAAGAAATAAGTGCACTTGTCATGACTCAACTTCCAGATGACTTTCCTGACTGTAAAATATCTACATAATGATGTACACCCTGCTTGTATGTCAGTTCTTACATACAAATTTTCTCAGGTACTGTATAGACTTTACAGTACAAGATGCAGATTTTAGATGTGGGGTGTCAACACAGAAAACCTCTATCTTCACAATTGTGAGATAAATCTAATTTGTGATCTTGAATTTCCACAATTGAAATTTTTTATCTGCTTGTTTAAACACTGAATATGCACCACTCCCAACATTTTAGGGCAGAAGGTAAGAGCTTGTGCAAACAATTCCTATTTTAATCTTTCCTAATGTTACCCTCAGAATCCAGATCTGAGTTTTTCTGCTGCTTTATACTGGCTCTCCATTAACACAAAAAGTTTGAAGGGGCAAGGATGGGCTGTGCAGTTTTTGCGCTATGTAGGCATTTTTGCACCTAAAAAATGGCAAGATGATTTGTTATTTATTCATTTTAAGAGCAATGGTATTAAGTCAAATCAGCAAACTGCAGCTAGTGAACAAATGAACAATTGTATTCCAAGTCACACAATTGATGCATGACAAAGAATACAAGCAGCAACTTGTTAACTAATGATAATTTGACACTTGAATTTATGCCAGTTTCACCAGCTCTAGGGCACATAACCAATAGGATTATGACCAATGAAATAAAAGTGATACTCCATATTCACGTTGTACACAGGATCTCTTAAGAAAGAAAGAAATAACACACATAGCAAGATTAGAAGCACAACCTTAGGAAATGCTGTAAAATCTTGGTTATTTGAGTGTGAGCATATCTGTACCACATTTATATCAGTGTTATTACAACTTTGCTGTTGTGGCTTCTCCCTGAAGAATCCTGAACTCTATTGTTCAGGGGTGCAAAACATAATAATCTAGCGGTCCTTACACATGTAGAGTTGCTCGGGTTCTCTGAAAGAAGGGAATAAAACAAATTTACTGTGTTGTACAGAGATGCCCCTTCTTTCCTTGGGACAATTAATTTCTTTGCTGTTGATTACACACGTTAGTTATAGCATCCAACGAGGAGAAACAAAATTCTGGGTTGGGTAATATCTTTACTAGGCCATCAAAACAAGACAAGCTAGAAATACATGCCATCTATTCTCTGGATCAGGGTTTAGGCCCAAGAACAAGAATGGAATGCTATCCCAGCTTTAGAGGGAAGGGAGTGCTCCTTTGTATGCAAAAACAATTGAATCAAAGCGGAGGAGAGGGAGGAGAAGAGCAATTTCCCCCTTGATATTTAGTTTCTCTCAGGAAGGAAGGAGGGACATGGTGGCGCTGTGGGCTAAATCGCAGAAGCCTGTGCTGCAGGGTCAGAAGACCAAGCAGTCGTAAGATCGAATCCACGCGACAGAGTGAGCTCCCGTCACTTGTCCCAGCTCCCGCCAACCTAGCGGTTCGAAAGCATGCAAATACGAGTAGATTAATAGGGACCACCTCGGTGGGAAGGTAACAGCGTTCCATGTCTAAGTCGCACTGGCCATGTGACCACGGAAGATTGTCTTCGGACAAAACACTGGCTCTGTGGCTTGGAAACGGGGATGAGCACCTCCCCCTAGAGTCGAACACGACTGGACAAAAATTGTCAAGGGGAACCTTTACCTTTTACCTTACAGGAAGGAAGGACTGCTTCCACAAAAGCATTCTGTCATCTGATTTCCCTTTCTCCAGTCTGAAGTGGCAAGCTCTACAATTATTCCCTTACCTGCTGTATATCTGACTCAGGGCTAAGCATCCTTCAGCTTCTGTGAGTTTCAAGTCCTCTTTTTTCCCCTTACAAAACTGAAGTAAAACTGTGTTCCTGCACACACATAGTCACACGAATCGCCTTTAAGCCTAGCAGAATCCCACTTTCCCTTCTGAAACCTTCATAATAATTTAAAATAATACTTGTGAAATAAATGTCACTTGGCAAAGCATTCTTTGACTACGTATATTAACATTACTGTTTCCCAATACATTCATACATAAATTCATACACTTCTTAGATATATTGATTTGGCAATCTGTTTGGACAGAGGGCTCATCTGAGAAGACAATATGGGGAGGTAGGCCAAGCCCCCCCCCCTTCATCATGCAAAGCAGACTCCTGTCATAGCTCCTTCTCTGTTCATATCTTCCTTTCAGTTCAGAAAACTACTTGAAGGGTTGCACAATGGAGGGTTGCATTTGGCTCAAGGGTTGCTAGTTGCCAACTTCTCCTATGGGCCAAACCATTCAGAAGTACAAATATTGGGAATACGGTAATCTACATAGTATTGCATTGGCCTAAGCCTACTCTGGTGTGGGGGGGAACAAAGGACAATTAACAAGAAGGTATGTAAAAACCATCATTTACATAAAACAGACAAGAAGGCTTTGCTTTAATCGAGTTCTCCCTTGACTCTGCTTGTGCACTAGCACCCAGCCCTATTCCAAGGGGACAGTTTTGATGAGATGTGGAGGGAAAATGCCTTTCTGTTGCATATCCTGGCTCTCCTTCCAATCACGTTCCTTTATACCCATCAAGAATCCTTGTTCCTAGAAAGGTAAGAAGACATTTTAGTCAGACTTTTCCGTACATTCAGGAAGGAGGGTCTTTACAGAATATTCAACTTACAGTATCTAAAAGCCAGACTCTCAGAAGATGCATCTGCAGAGTTGCTTCTAGACAACACAGAAACTAATACGTATGTTGCTGTATTTGCTGAAACAAATAAAACTTGTTTTGATTGAATGCCACAGGCATCAACGTTACAATAGTTTGGCAGATAATCTTTGCCATTCTTTTCAGCCTGTTCCTCTCTAGATCAGGGATGAGCTATCTCAGCAGGGCCAAGGACCGCTTTTCAGATTTCATGGCAGCCCAAAGCCTGCTCTAAGAAATTGGGATGGAAAGCAGTAACATGTATACATACATTAAAGTAAAGGTTGCAACTGTGGTTACTGTTTACCTGGAAAATGGGTTTAATTTTAAAAAATAAGGTGTTTACTGAAAAAATGTTCATCTTTAATGGCCGTCACATTTTTTTCAGCTGGGATTACGAGGCAAAACATGGCAAAAGTTCAAGATTACACAGAAGGTTCCGGGAGTAAGAATGAAGGGACATCTCAGCCCAGGCTCAGCCACTCTCAGTACTGCCAGCCATTTCCACACCTTTTCCTGCCCTACTGTAGGTGGCTCACAGCAACAGGTTGGAACTTATTGGAATGCCTTAGTAAAAAAAGGACTTCCTTGGATTTTAACTTTCTTGTTTAAAACTGAACATATGGGGTGGGCCACGTCAAAGGAAACTAGGGATCCCATCCTTTTAATAGTTTTATGGAAGTGGACATTTCTGCAAGTGTAATTCCCTTTGTCCTACAGCTCGTTGTTGAAAGCACCAGAGCCTGTCCTTTTTTGTCAGATGTACCATCTCTGTATGAGTTTTGTGAAGCTTGTCACCAATAGAGCCAAAGGCTGCAATCTTGCACATTTATCAGAGTGTTAATTCTCCTTGGACCCATTAAGACGTATTTCGGGGTCTATATGCAGAGGATCACCCTGCTGTTCTGGCACACGGGGTATTGGTGCAAGGGGACACTGCCTAACATCACTTCATGAGGTCATGGCAAAAGGAAGATTTGAAGGAGGGAATTCCCTAGTATGCAGCTCAGTCTCTTTAATTAGTACTTACATGATCATCATTATCATCACTGAGTGCTGTTAAGTCAATTTTGACTTATTTCTAGGGTTTTCAGGTAGAGGATCTCACAGCAATGGAACTTATTGGAATGCCTTAGTAAAAAAAGGGCTTACTTCCTTGGCTTTTTTCTTGTTTAAAACTGAACATATGGGGTGGGCCACGTCAAAGGAAACTAGGGATCCCATCCTTTTAATAGTTTTATGGAAGTGGACATTTCTGCAAGTGTAATTCCCTTTGTCCTACAGCTCGTTGTTGAAAGCACCAGAGCCTGTCCTTTTTTGTCAGATGTACCATCTCTGTATGAGTTTTGTGAAGCTTGTCACCAATAGAGCCAAAGGCTGCAATCTTGCACATTTATCAGAGTGTTAATTCTCCTTGGACCCATTAAGACGTATTTCGGGGTCTATATGCAGAGGATCACCCTGCTGTTCTGGCACACGGGGTATTGGTGCAAGGGGACACTGCCTAACATCACTTCATGAGGTCATGGCAAAAGGAAGATTTGAAGGAGGGAATTCCCTAGTATGCAGCTCAGTGTCTTTAATTAGTACATACATGATCATCATTATCATAATTGCTGTTAAATCAATTTTGACTTATTTCTAGGGTTTTCCAGGTAGAGGATACACAGATATCATGTACCGTTCCCTTCCGCTGGGGGTGTTCTGGGGCTATACAGCTTGCCCAAGGCCACATAGGCTGGCTCTTTTCTCATGAGGCACAGCAAGAAATCCAATTTCAACCTCTGGCTCTACAGCCAGAGGTTGAGAATTGGATTGGATCTAAATTGGATTGGCTCTAAATCAGAGCATGATTATACTGTACTATGAAAACAAATTGGGAAATGAACAGGTGTTTTTGAAGTTGGTTTGAACTCATGTGTTAGTCATGTGGTTTTTGGGTTCGTGTTGGTAAGCCTTTAAACCCATTTTAAACTGTGTTGTATATTAGTCCAGGGGGGCTACATGGGCTTATTGGAAAACATTGTGAACATTTAGGGGACAGATTGCAGGAGCAGGTGTTCCCATGGTGCTTAGACATCACGTTCCAACTGCCTACATCACCACAACACCACCCACAGACACACACACACACACAGACACACACAGACACAGACACACAGACACACACACACACACACACCTGTTCCTTTTGCAGAATGAAAGAACTGCTGGATAGGTCAACTGAACTGAGTGCTGAATGGCTGGATAGCTCAGTGATTTAGGTCTCTGGCACAGAGTCCTTTTGCAGAATGAAAGAACTGGATAGGTCAAGTGAACTGAGTGCTGAATGGCTGGATAGCTCAGTGATTTAGGTCTCTGGCTGCGGAGTCAGAAGTTGGGAGTTCGATTACCCCACTGGGCCTCCTTGACAGAGGCCGGATTCAATGATTCATAAGGTCCTTGTGATGACACAGGGAAAAGCCCATTTGAATCCTTCTGGATTTTCAAAAGCAGAAGCCCCCGGGGGTAATTGACTCTGTAGTTGCAGCCCCAGCTGGCTGTAGAGATCAGAGTTTTGGACTCGGGAGACCCATGTTCAGACCTGTGCTTGGCAGCATAAAAAATTTGAGCTAGTAATCAGTTTACAATCTAACCTGCCTCAGATTGTGACTACATGGTCAAATGCTGTGGGATTTGTTCCAGTTACAAAATGGATGAATTGAAAAATGTTTTTACTGATCACATGATGCAACAGCCAGTTCAAATCAATCCAGCCCTTTTTGCTTTCAACAGGGAGGCTTCTACTTTTTTCAAGCCAGAACCATTTGAACAGACTTTTCCCTGGGTGATCAGTTATTTTGTTCTGTGAAAGAATGGGGGTGGGGGGGGGCCAAGCTTCTGTGAATGGTATTTTTTCAATAAGCGAATTCAGCACTGGGCTATTGCATTGATATACAAGTTTAGTGGTAGATCACTTTTGCAGAAGAAAAAATTATAAAGCAATCCATAAATGGATCAGCAAAGTAGGAACAGAGGAAGTAAGGAAGATAGATCCACGGGCTGAAATAGGGATTGCACCATAAGAAGCTAGTGTGGAGATTCGCTCCAACTTAGTCCACAGCCCCTGTATGATCGTTCAAAGTAAATGGAAGTGGAATATAGGCTGTAAATCAAACTAAAGGAAAGACAAAGCACTCCAATTTAGCTTGTTAGTATAGTTGCAGCATCAGACACTTTTTGCAAGAATAAAATCAGATGGGTGAGTAACAGACATACATCGTTTTAGGCTTTTTAGAAACAAGGCAGGGTGTAAATATAAATTTTAAAAGCCAGGCCTCTGTAGCAGCTGCTTGGGATTTGCATATGTATTTTTTTGGTGCCACAGGTTAGTTACCTATGCAGTACCTTTATCATCAATTGCTACTTATCTATATAGTTTGAATAAATGTGCCAGGGCAGTGCCTTGATGTTACCTCAGCCTGTGCATCTGACAGCACAAAGATAGTTTCCCCTTCTCCAAACTGAAGGTGGTCCTCATCTTCTGAAGCATGAGCTTCAGTTGCCTGAGCCTGGAACAAGAAGCACAGAACCAATAATGTAACAAGTCACTACATTGAGTAACCGGGCTGGTGTTGTAACATTGGGGTCTTTACATATGTGCTAAAAACTCCCAACTCAACAGTTAAATATTGTAGAAAAATACATAATTTATAATACAGAGTAATTTAGGCTAGCAATTATATTTATGGCAAACAACAAAAAATTATCCCATCTGCCTATCCTGCACAGGCTTGAACATCCAAGATTTGTGCTCTTTTTCTTCATTAACAGTCAAGACCTAAGATTCCATGAATCATTTTATACACCAACCAAAAGCACCAGACCAGATCCTGCCTGTCTGATGACTCCAGCCTCTCAGTGAGTGTAACCCCCTTATTAACAAAGCATCTAACCTTAAACATGAAGCCCAGGGGGAACTTGACATAGTCCTCTGTTTTATCTTCTGAGAAGAAGTTAGAGATGGTCTGAAACAAAAAGGCCTTTCAGTTATTCTACTGAGGAATCACTCTACTCAACAGTAGATCTAAAGTTTGACCTGAAATTACTCCTGCATGAAATTAGAATTGCATGAACTTGTATGAGTGATGTACAGAAGGGCTCCAGCTGAGCTCCACACACTAGACAGCAAATCTCTGCAACATGTACTCTGCACAATTAGGGTGGCTAACTCTGCATTGCTGAAAAAGAAAACAGACATCACGGAAAAGGAAGACATTCTGGAACTAAATTTGCACATGCATTGCCTCTGCCCATGCAAGGTTTTAGCTGATATATGCAAATACATACAAACAAATGTACACAAAATTACTGTACCATGAACAGGTCAGGTGCCCAAGACAGAATATCCACACCATATGGCAAACTTAAAGGGGAGTAAAATCTTGCTCTCTACAATCTTCACACACACATCATAGTATCTTTTCCCTGGGCAATAGTCATGTACACGATCACAGATTTTAATAATAGTAATTAATCCAAAATTAAGAACAATCATTATCCTGCCACCATTTGCACAACATCACATCCCTATTGTCACGCTGCATAAAATAACTAATTAGAGTTGCCTCTTTCTATATCCAAAAACATGCAAATTTAAAGGAGAGATTGCAGTTCCATCTTTGCCTAAGCCCTGGGTATGTCTACTCATAAATAGATACATGACAATTTAAAGAGGATAATGGGGGCAACATCAATGTCAGCAGCACACCCCACATGCCACCAAAGCCAGAGAAGAGAAGGAGACACTGCTGTTGCGCCCAGAAAGTCATTGTCTCTTGCGCTGTGTAGGTCTATGCGCTCTCTCTCTCTCTCTCTCTCTCTCATGTGGAGCTTTGAAAATTTACTTTTTGGGATGACAGTTCCTGCTGCCTTGGGAGTCCTTAGAACTTATCCTTTTGTTCATCTCCTCCTAATACTCATTCCTGAGATCTAGGATATGATCTTCTGTTCAATGTAGGCACCAGAAACGTAGCTCATTTATTCACATGGTTTCTAGGCCCTGTAAATCCTACCAGTAGCGCTGGTTCCCACAGTCCTTGTGACCTCGACATCCTTAATTGTCATATAGTGCTTATTCTTCCTTCACGCTTTCAGTTGGCTCTCACACTCTGCCCGCCTATGCGCAAGAAATGCCAGAAAGAACTAAAGAATTCTGGGATTTGAAACTTTTTTGAATGAAGTTCACCCAGGGAGGCACATTTCTTGTTTCCTATTCTTTCTTTTACCACCACCCCACCCTCTGTTTTAGAAGAGAGTTTGGGCCAGCAAGCTTACTTTCCAAAGCTTGTTCAGTTCGGGTTGGTTCCAACCACTCTCACAAGACCATAAAGGATCTGGGTATTTCATACAGAATAGTCACGCAGACATCCCCTGGTATGATCTAACTTCATTTCACTCAGGCAAGATCTAACAAGACTTCTAGGTCCTTGTAGAGAGTCCTCCACCCAATATTTAGGCCCTAGGCCCTGCCGTCCTGGATGCATGCATGGCATATAGTATTCCATAGGATTAAGCCACCATGGCTCTCCAATGCTGTTCTAAGGCCTCCTCTGCAAATACCGTTTTCCCGGAAATAAGACCTAACCTGAAAATAAGCCCTAGTAGGATTTTTCAGGATGCTAGTAATAAAAGCCCTACCCCCAAAATAAGCCCCAGTTAAGTGAAACCCAGCCCTCCACCATTGCTATTGTGCAGTAACCAGAAGATGATGCCATGACTGTATTTGAATAAATGTATATTGTTGTACATGAAGAAAAATAAAACATCCCCTGAAAATAAGCCCTACTGCTTTTTTTTTCGGAGCAAAAATTAATATAAGACCCTGTCTTATTTTCAGGGAAACACAGTATGGACATATGTGTTTCACATAGATCTACAGTACTTTAGTGCTGGTTTTACAGTAGGTTTTTCTTTGGATGGGGGTGAGGAGAGATTATTTTTAGATTTTATTTGATTTGCTTTATTTGTTAGCTATTCTAAATGCCATGGTAGAAGAGCAAGACATACATATTTAAAATATAAATCCATTAATTAATACATGCTCTGTGCTTTTCAGTACCATGGGGAAGTTCAATTAATGCATGTTAAAAGTTAATTAGGAGACCACGTTCGCAGCTTTATATGTTTCAGCAATGGATGTGAAGAGATTACCAACAAGGACATAACATTTCCTGAAGGAAACACTTCTATTATGGGGAAATCAGATAGTCCTAGAGCTCAGATGGCAATATTGTGCTATTCTCTCCACCGATTTATGACCAATCCCCCGTTACCCTGGGCAAGTCACAGTTCTCTCACCCTCAGTCTTCACCTGTTATATTGGAGGTAAAACAGTGACCTAGCCTACTGGACTGAATTCTTCACAAGGGGGGCTCTTTAAACATTCAAAATAAACCAACTTGAGATAAAACACTAGAGGCTGGCATTACTGTTTTGAGCAGTGAATAAGCAGCCCTACGAGTAAGTGCTGTTTTTAGGAATCCATCCTGGTTTTTCCTGTCAGACGGGATCACTGTGCTTTTTCAAGTCTGACATGTGTGATTAAGCCTGCCAACTGAGAGGCTATCCTTTGGGAAGACTTCTAAGTAGCTTTCGCAGCAAGCTGGGCAATTTTGCTATGGAAAGAGGGGTTTGACATATTAAGGAGCCAGCCTGCCTTAAAACCTGAAGACTTAAAAGGAAGGAGATGAGATGGCTGGGAAAGCCAGATCACCTCTTAAGAAACGATCACTCTTTCTTTCTTGTCTGCCCATGAACACCCAGAAACATTGGGCCAGTCAAGTATGGGCAGAGAACACAGGGTTGGGATAGGACTTTGATCTGATTTAACGAAACTGTATTTATAATTGCCATATAGGTGGCTATTCTCCCTGCTTCACTTCTTTTCAAAACACACTGCATATCACTGTTGTCAGTTTCACATCTGATTTCATGCTATAGGTATCCACCTGAAAGGACTAGGGATAGAAATTCTCATTTGTGGTCAGTGGATTTTTCAGCTGATTCATGGACAGAGGTGTGTGAACAAGCTAGTTGAGAACTTATCTCTTTCCCTTATGAGGACTCTTCCTGTAAAATTCTGACTTTTATCACATTAAGATCAAATTTGTATGCCTGCCCCTTGAGTAAAAGAAATTTAGCATAGCATGAAATACTGTACTGCAAAACAGGTAGTTTGCTGCATGTATTTTTAAAAATAAAAAAATAAAAATCAATGTAGGTCTTCAACATCTTAAATTAATAGAGAATTTGGCTTCCTGATAAAAGTAAATAGATAGTAGCTGATCCCTCCTCCTCCTGAGTCCCTGACCTGTAGAAGATAAAGTAAATTATGTGAATCCCCATAACTAGACTCTGTGTGTCCATGTATATGAATATCACAGAATTTGTCACCTCTTGGCATATGGGAAGGATTATCTTTAGGAGTCAATCTTTCTTTAGTACAAAATAAAAAGAACTCATTCATGAAGAAAAAAGAGAAAAAGATGATCAGGCAATACACAGAGAGAACCCAAAGCAAGCACTTACGGATTTTGAGAACCAAGAATTTTCCATTTGGCCTATCCCTAAAAATAACATACCAGGCAGAACAAATACCCCTCATACCTGCCCATCATCAGGTAACCCTGTTGACAAGCAATTCCTCAAATTGTTAGCAGAAACCATGTGAAACATTGGGTGAATTTGAGCCCAGGCACTAGTGCAGCGGTTTCCAACCTTGGATCCCCAGATGTTCTACAGCGGTTTCCAACCTTGGATCACCAGATGACTAAAACTCCCAGAAGCCTTCATCGCTAGCTGTGCTGGCCAGGATTTCTGGGAGTTGTAGTCCAAGACCATCTGGGGATCCAAGGCTGGAAACTGCTGCGCTAGTGACTCAACATTCTTTTGAAGCAGCCATAATTCCTAATCAAGCAAACTGTATCTTCGCATACTGGCAATCTCTCCCAGAGCAGGTCCATGTTTCAAACAAAATGTTATCTGCAGATAAGTGAACTAAGATGTGTAGTATCAGATATATGTAAGAATCAGCAGTAGGCATACACTGAAGTCATATATTCTTTGCCACCTTTGCTAGCTGAAGTGACAGTTCTGTGAGCAGTGAGCCAACGGTGGTTGGTCCCAGCAAATGAAGGGAAGAAGAGGTTTCGTGGCCTTACGTCTTCTCTCCTGCTACTACAGAGTGACAGGCTGCCAACAGCTATGCGAATATTGCAGAAACTACTGTATTGAGAGTCATGCCTGCAAGATGAACACTGACCCATGAATGACACAACACAACTCTCCTTCCCTTTCTCCATGCCATTCTTTGCTGGCTAGAAAAGTGTCCCAGTTTCATGGTGTGTACAAGAGTTCTCATCCAGCAGTATTTATTTTTAATGAAAGAATGGGAGGTGAATTTCACTGGTAAACTCACTATGGCTGGATGCTGTTGTTTTGTTCTTGCTGCAGAGTGCCTTGAACATCGGTGGTACATTAATGGTCTACAATTTACACCCACCAGTGTAAAGCCATTAATATAAATTTGAACTATGAATTGTCAGAAAGTAAGAAGCCAGCATAGACGTGCTGACTTGAGACTTGGTACATGTAAATGCAATTCACAGGTGAAATTTATGCTGACTGCATTATGCTGCCATAATTTTTTAGTTAGATTCTGGCCACTGTTGTGGTCGTTAAAAAAAAGCAATGTCTCAGGTTTCACACTTTGTCAAGGAATTTAAGTTCCTTTTTTTGCAGCTAAATACGCCAAGCTGGCAGCCACAGCTGCAACAGCTGCCCCTAGTTATTATTATTTTTCCTGTGGCCATCTCTTTCCATGGCCCTGGATGCTCTTACCTAGTTTCATTTTCTTTTATTTAAAAAAAATCTTATTACAAATTTATATATAGAACGTCACAAGCTTTTATGGTGCAAATGGCAATTAATCTGTTTGTCAGTAAGAAATTACAAGTCTTCTTTAATGCACTGCATGCAGTATGTAATTAGTGCATGGTGAGAAAGAGGAGAGTGTTCTCCTATGCCTTCGCCTCACCTGAGTATTGGTGACCTTTGGGGAGACTTCTATTTCTTCCATGCTGCCATCACTGCTGCTGTCAACCTCAGTCTTCTCATGATCCTGACAGGTTACTTCCCGAGTCCCCGGCTTCTGCTGTTGGATGGCCTCTTCTTTTGGCAGAGCAGAAGTCATGCCGCCATTAGTGGTGCTGGATACTTCCTGCTGGATTACTTGATCTTGGATGGAAGAGGAAGGATCTTGGAGATTGTCTTCAGGACAAATGGACCTCTCACTGAGCGACAAAACTTCTCCCTCAGGATCAGATTCCTCAGCCTGAGTTTCATCCTGGCTGTGTTTGATTTCCTGTTTCAGCAGGGAGGGAATGCCATTCCTTGCCTGTGGAGCAGAACCTCTGTCTTCCTTGCAGGTCTCATCAGCCTCAATGTTATTAATGGAAGGTGGCTGTGCAGTGTCTTCGGAGTCCTTGGATACATTTTGGACTTTGCCAGCAGCCTCATGTACTGCCTCTGATAAAATCTCTACCGCTATATGATTTGCAACTTCGTCAACTTTTTGGGGGGTGCCTTTGGAAACACTAAGGGGGGTCTCCAGATTCATTGCTTGGTTCTCATCTTTGGGTTCGCTAACAGATGAAAGGGTGGACTTGGCCACATCTTCCTCTTTGCTTTGTGATGCTGTGGCCAAAGAGGCCGGGATCTCTTCCTTTGTTTCACTGACACCACTGGGCACAGATGCTGTCTTGGCTGCTGAAGCAAATTCTCCATTGTGTTTGGAGGGAGTGTCGGGAGCAGATGCTTGAGTCTCACTTATGCTGTTCTCTGCAAGCATGAAAACGGGGCTGGTTGGACTTACTGGAGATGAGATGACCAATGAGCCTCTGTTACTGCATTAGGGAAAACATAAGTCATTTTAGGGTCAAATTAGACAATATACTTAAACGTATCTTTAGAAGCACAGCTTCCACAAAAATAAAAGACATCTCTTTATACTAACACAAGCTTTCCTCATCTCCACACGTTGCAAATTAAATTTTGTGATGGGTCCTTGGGAGGTAAACACAGGCTTCATTACAAACTCTGAGTTCTCAGGGAATCAGTTTTGAAAGAATAGCATTGTGAGAGGGAAAAGTGTTTTATCAACTTGCAAAGTTAGCATTTTTTCTGATTTGATCATTCAGCCTCTAATAGATGTGTGTCTATTTAGGAATTATGGTGAAATGGAACCTCTAAATTGGAAGACAATTGGCCTCTTGAGTATGTAATANTTTTTCTTAATCCGGACAAGACACTTCTTCAGGCCACTGTCTCATCCTAAAGATGGAGAAATATAGGAACAGCTTTCACATTTCCTTGTGGCCACTTCAGAAGCCATCAGGTTGTGGCATGTGATTTTTGATTTAGACAGAAAACTGAAATCTGTCTTGCTTGCTTCTTGTGATATATTATTAAAAGCACCTGCAAGTTGTGCCTGAAATGGTATTGTTTTTCAGAACTGTTGTCCACAATTTGGGGTGAAGAAAGCCAGTATGAGTACAATCATTCTCTAATCACATGGGCTGTCTTTGCATAATAATACAATTAAGTGCCTGATGCTTTTTTAATAGCCTCCCTTCACATGCAGAATTTGTGAAAGAGGCTTAAAGGGAGTTCTGACAGCAGAACTGTTTTTAAGTTCACCCAAAGCATGGTTGGGGAGAAATTCAATGCAAACTCTTAATTAAAAGAAATATCCCTTTCAGGAAAAGAAACTACAGTATATGAACTGGTGGTGTCAGGTAGTATGTGTATATGGCTCTGTGTGTGGGTTTTGGTCCAGAACTTTGAAGAGTTATTTCTTGGATCTGACACAACCAGCCCAGCCAGGACAGTTCCATCAAGAGACAGACTGTAGTGGGGCAAGGGAAGACCTCTAACTTTCAGTACCACCCTAAATAAAGGCAGAATATAGAGGGAGAGAGACAAAATATGGTGGCACTTGAAAAACTGATAGATTAATTTCAGTGTGAACAGTCATGGATCAATGTCCCTCCCTTCAAACACCTTCAGACCAATATCTAAAGAAGTGAATTCTGATCCACAAACACTCATACTGGAACAAATTTGGTGAAATGCCACAGTATTTGAGGTTTGTTCTTCTTCTTTATTTTGACTACATTCTGAGACAGACTAATTCAGCTACTTATTAAAAGCCTAAATAATGTTCAGCTTACCCCACAACATGCCAGTTAGAATCCTCACCAGGCCTATAAAAGAACCCTAAGATACAAGTTAGCTTAGTCTGAGCAATTCAGCAGTGAACGGCCACAATATGATGGCACAAAAAAGCACGAGCCTTTCTGTGGTGGCCCCTAAAGTTTCTGAATTAATGGCCTGCTGATAGTGGATTTGTGATTTTGACCCATTTGGAAAAAAACACCACAAGTACAGTTATTTAGATAATCTTTCCAAAGCCAACATGCCCTGCCTGAAGGCTTTTGTTTTGTCTCTGGTCACTTTCTGTCTATCAACCATATTTTCTTCTTGATCAGTTATACTGATTCTGTATGCATTTTATTTCCACTCTTGAACCCCTTTGGGTGCCTCCGAAGGGGAAAAAAAAATCTCCCTGCGCTATTTGTGGAAAGGCAGCATGCTATTCAATTTTTTTTTGTCCTTAAACTTTTGTTTGTTGTTGTTCTAAGGGGAAAAAGATGGAATATGTGATAAGAGGGTTACAAATTCAGATTCCAATGTCCTCTGGAACTTTCATCTGGAGGTAGGGTGATTGTAACATAAAACTCTCATTTGCAAGCATCCTCTGTTACAGAAAGATAGATTACACACATCTTTAATTCATAAACAACCAGGCCAGCTCTCTAATGAGGCAAAGGGAAATGGCAGATGGGGCAAGACAGCAAATTGTTTGCTTTTTCTACAGCCAGGAAGGCACCACCACCACCAGGCACCAGCACTGTTCTTTGTAGTGCCCCCTCCACCTACAACATCTGACATGGAAAGGTTACAGATTCCTTCCTCCTCTGGCTATTCCAGTGTCCTCCCCTGGCTTCTTCTCTCTTGTTGTAGTAAAGGGATCCCTCATCCTCAGGATAAAGCACCTCATGGATGGGCTCTCTAGGGAGCTCATGGACATAAACGTCAGTCTGGAGGTTCATGCTGGTTCATGCACATGGCATCACAGGTGTCGCATGTTCCCTTTCCTCACTTCCCTGGCTGGATCCCCCACTCACCCACCAGCCAGGGCATACTCCTGTCCTCCTCCTCAGCTGTTCAACCAGTCTCCAGCAGGAGCACAGACTTCCCTGCCCTGCCTCCTTGGCTGATCAGCCACTCAGAGAAGGAGGCAGGACAGGCAAACCCCTACCCCTGCCTGGGACTGGTTAAATAGCCAAAGAGGAGGAGAGGAGAGGAGTGCACTCCAACTGGTGGGTCATTGCCTGGGGTGGAGGGGGAAGGGAATGTGCTGTGTGTATGAACTGGAACGAACCGTTGAACCAAGGTTCATGTCCATCTCTAGAGCTCACCCATCCCCAGTGTTTCAATTTGAGGAGGGAGGTATCAGTGGTAGCTGTGGCAGGAGCACAGGGATTTGTGTGGTGGTAGCAGCAGTGGGTGCAGTACGTGGGGAAGGGGCCCCTTTGACTGCAGTCTCAATGCCTAGTGTAATACTTCTGTTTTAAGCCATCATTACCCACCTGTACAAAAAAGAGAAGGAAATGACTTACCTTGACAGCCCTTTAATGATGAAAACTTTATTGGAGTGCTGCTTTTCCAGCTTACTCATCACGTCATATAAATCATGGTTTAGCTGGATGCAGGAACAATGGGAAAATACATTGTGACCCATCAAACTGAGATGAACAACAATAAGAACCACAGGGAAAAACTGCTACTATCGTCCCTGCTGCTGTTACGCTTCTTCACATCAGATAATTATTTCTAGAAGAGCAGGGAAAGGTTACTTCCCTGGAGTACAACTCTCACAGTTCCCAAGCTAGAATGACCATAAGAAAATAACCTTTCCGAGCTTTGATTTCTGGCTACCTTAATGGGTATCTGAAGTCATGTCTTTGGGGCAGACTATACTGTATATAGGTTACAGAAAACACCATTATTAAACAAGGGAAATCCTTCACCTTAATGATGGAAAACATCTGACTGTCACATCAGGAGCTTTTTTTAATGTCATGCAGTTTGCAAGTTAGTTGGGTATGTTTTGTAGTTGGTTCTTGGAAACTATAAACATGGGCTTTGTTTGGAAATTTAAAAACTGAGATCCAGATACCTGCATAATTTAGAAATTTCAGGGGCCAAAACAGAAAGGTCTCTGGAACACTAGCATAATTTGAACTCTTGCGATGGGTGATCTGTATCCTATAATTTGGCCTTTACTCTTGAAACATGCTGTTTTCCTTGTTTTCTTGTTCATTCATCCTTCTCTTCCAGGTGTAGCAGGACATAACTACAGTTTATATTATGTGCCCACAAGGCACACCTGACTTATAGTGACCCTAATAGAATTTAAAAGGTAAATGAGATATTTAAACATTGATTTTAACAGTGCCACTCCTCAGGGGGCTTCCATAGCTAAATAGGGATTAGAACCCAGGTCTCCAGAGTTCTAATCCATCCCTCTATTCACTACACCAGTGGTTCTTAACCTTTTTGAAAGAAATGCCCCCTTGAGCCATTGAGGAAGTTATCATCACCCCCTCCCCGCGGTGATGATTTCTTTCTTTCTTTCTTTCTTTCGTTCTTTCTTTCTTGCTTGCTTGCTTGCTTGCTTGCTTGCTTGCTTGCTTGCTTGCTTGCTTGCTTGCTTGCTTGCTTGCTTGCTTGCTTGCTTGCTTGCTTGCTTGCTTGCTTGCTTGCTTGCTTGCTTGCTTGCTTGCTTGCTTGCTTGCTTGCTTGCTTGTTTGTTTGTTTGTTTGTTTGTTTATTTATTTATTTATTTAAGACACTTAAATCCAATGACCCCTGGGGAAAAAATTCAATTGCAAGAAAATGAAATGCCCCCAAAAAGTAACATTTAATGATTTAGTTGCAAGTGAATTTTAAGATGCAAAAAGAAATATAAAAAGGGCATAAAAACAAACCGCAATGCAGGAACTAAAATTTCAAGATGAAAACTCTGAAACTAAATTAAGATTGGAGAAAAATATATATTAATGCACACTGTAAAAAGGCTGCAGCCATCTTCACAGGTTTGGCTTGCTCCAGCGCCCCCCTACCGCCCCCCTTCTGCTAAGAACCACTGCACTACACCACACTTTCATATGAACAGTAGACAGCTCTTCTTTCCTTTTCCTATGCAATGTCAATTAAATCAATAATGACTCTCCACTACCTACCTACCTACCTACCTACCTACCTACCTACCTACCTACCTACCTACCTACCTACCTACCTACCTACCTACCTACCTACCTACCTACCTACCTACCTACCTACCTACCTACCTACCTAGGCAGTTTAACAGTATACTTGGATATGCTGTATATAAGGACACAACTGGCCACTACAATGAAGGGAACGGTCATGTTTTGCTACAATGGAATTAATCTGTGGTTAATTCTTTTGCTCTTCTGGGGCTGCATTCAAAAGGGTTTACTAAAGTTTCTTTCCAGTGTTGAAAATGTGATTTTCCTCAGACAGCATGGCCATGATGGCTTAGGGGTTCTGGGAGATGTGGGCCCAAAAAGTAGCTTTTACAGGCTTTGGGGCTCTTATCAATCACAATCTAGGGGGCAGGAAGAAGGAAATGGAGGAAAACTGACCACACCTCGCCTGTTCATTTAAAAATCCCAGTTTATCGGCTGCCTGGCTTCCCTACCTTGCTCATTTCCTTGTAGAAGATATCTCGGAGATTCGAAATATTCTGGAATATGTTCACGTAGCAGGCAATTCGACTGGAGAGCAAATAAAGAAATATAATTTTTAAAAACCTACCCTGACTATTAACAGTCAACAACATAACTATGTTACTGTATACTGTAGTATAATAATAATAAGCAACAACAGTATCATTCAGAAGGTGAGATTGGTAGGGACTCTGTAACAGCTTATTTACACATACAGGAAAATCACAAGAATTTCTTTTATTTCTCTATTTCAGATGCAGGTCAGCAGCTACCTGCTCTGATGGTCCTTCAGGGGCAAACAAATACGTCTCACTTTAAAAAAAAACACCCAACCTTGTAATGTTAGGCTAGGTGGAAGGGATTCCTTGCCACATACTAGAAGTGCTCAAATTAGGGGTGGGAGGCATATAACTTAAAGGCTACATTTGTGGATCCCAAGGCACCCCTCCTAAAAAACTTGCACCATCACATTTTATGACAACAATGAAAGCCCCAAGCAAAAAGTGCTTAAAGCAAACTGCCACCAAGTTTCCTGAAATACACTGTAAATACACAGTCCTCCAACTGCAGCTGTACATTTCAAGAACACCTGCACCTTGTGATTCTGATTGTATTTGGAAATTACTCACAAAGCCAATGGACAATATATAGAGTTCCCAGGACTATACAGTTTCAGATGGTAAATGGGGCTGGGAGTGGGTGGGTGGAATGTTGGAATGCCCTCCCGAAATCTTCCTGCTCATGGAAAGTCAGCATGCGAGAGAAAGAAGGCTTTTCTCATGATGTGTTATCTTGTTATGTACAATTCTTTGTATTTATTTTGTTGCTGTCCTCATTGCCCTTGTTTGTTGTTTTGTGTTGCACTGTGCTGTAGGTTTTCTATTGATGTGTTATCTTGTTATGTGCAAAGATTCTTTTTTTAAACAATGAGGGAGCACTCAAGACGTGAAAGGCTATCATCTGTGGAATGGTATGTCACATTATTTATGCAGATAAATCACATTCCTTCATGTTGGTAGCCATTTGGATTTATTCTAGAAAACTATTTTCAGAAAACCTTTCCTTCATTTTCAGCATATTGCATGATATGCATTGAGAGGTTTAAGGCTTGCACAACTACGCTGGCACAATTTCAGCATTAATTAATAAAATGCTGATTCGTGCCATTTGTGGGTGAGTGGTATGTGAATGTGTACACATATACATGAAATGCTACGGAACCTTCCAAACAGAGCTAGGGAACATTTTTGTGTTTTTGGTCTCTAAGCTGGCTGCTGGATTCTGGCACCTGTAGCCCTTAAAAACAGCATTTACAAATGTACTCACAAATAGAATGTTAAGCTGAATAAAGCAAAATTGAATGAAATCTGATACTATCTAAGGAAAAAGCTGTGGTGACACCAAATGTGGGCCAACCAGTGAAAACTGCAAGTGTATGCTGCTTATTGACTCTTTTCATTCATGCCTGATGGATGATAAGGAACAACATCATGTGGCCACATTTTCCCCACAACACACAACATTATGAAGTACGTGGATTATGTAGGCTGTTTACTTCTCTACTGTATTCTTACAACAATCCTGTAAAATAGATTAATTGGGTAAGAGTGAATGCCCAGTCCGAGGTTAGCTGACTGACATTGTGGCTAAATGGAGGACTAGACCCGAGTTTTCCTGATTTATGGCTGACTGGCACCTTAATCACTGGACCGTGCCCTCTCTCAACAGGTGAGACTTTAATCAGATGAGCCACAACAATGGCAGCTGATGGAAGAGAGCAGGAAAGTTCTCAACAAAATGTCACCAGGCATTTGAGCAACTCAGTGTTTACAGAAAAGGATCAAGGCCTGGATGCAGGATTGCTGTTTTGGCAGCAAACCTCTGTCTCCTCCTCCTCATAGCCCAGATCGCTATTAATTTACTAAAAAAGAGAAGAAAAGCAAGAATTTTGATCCCTGGATTTTGCTGCCATCATGTGGTCACCTCTTCCCAGTACTTCTCCAGTTCTGGTTGTGAAGCAGTCCATCTCACTGCTAGTCTGGCCAATGGCATTTTGTAGTTCAACTAGGCTCGGACAATTCTTTGTATTTATTTTGTTGCTGTCCTCATTGCCCTTGTTTGTTGTTTTGTGTTGCACTGTGCTGTATTGTGTTGTGAATTGGCTGAAGGGTTAAGGAGTAGCAGCCAGGGACAACGGTGCCCATAGAGTTCAGCAGCAAAGTCTGCTAATGATACCTATAGATTGTGAACCTGACTGTAGTTTTTACCTGTATGTGTCTAAAGAAATACCAATTCTAGGATTCCAGGGAGAGGTTAAGCACAATTATACTGTATTTAAGTTAGTTCTTGCCCTGACAATGGGAATCACATGACACTCGCAGTAATGTGTAGAAGGTGCTACTGCTGCTTAGATTGACATAAAACAGGAATGTAATCAGTAATCCTTCTCTTAGCTAAATTCTGTGAACATTTGCAACCTTCATGTGCCCAGATCCACAAGAAAAAGCTGCCACACAACCTTAGCTCTGTTGTCAGGGTTTCATCTCACATAGAATGTATTTGTGCATGTAAAGGATCTGTTCCTCCAATTTTTTTTTCATGCTGTGAGACAGCAGGATTGTGAGATGAATGGTCAAGATCAAGAACAGAATTGTCAAGATCTAATATCGAGATACGGATTTTGTCTTGGATTAGTTCACACATCTATGTACATCACTTGGTGAGTAGAAGCTAAAAGCATGCAAACACCCTGCTGTGGTGAGGTGTCCTGACACTTCCCGTAAGATCTAGGTCAATAATTTTGTGCAGGTTAAGTCATTACAAGAAGTTGTAGTCATCAAGCATTACCTATGATCTTGTGAAACAGCTCTTAGGATTTAGCTCTTGTGGTCAGATGCCTTTGTTCTAGCCATTGTAAAGTCTTTTGACTGCCTTCTGTCCCCTAGTCTGAAAACTGTTGTTTGTTGTTTTCAAGAAGATCATCTCCCCTAGTTCTTGTTTAATTGGCTCAGCTGCAAAAGCCTATGAAATGTATCAGATGTATTTTCGGAGCAGACAGTTGAGTTGACCCTCTTGCTGCTATAAACTCAGATCTCTTTGCTCATGACCTTGGAATAAAGTCCTGGCTTAGTCTTTATTTTGCTTGCTATCTTTCTTTATCCAGTTCTGCAAATGATCACTGGCGCCCTGCTTAGATAGGAAGAAACAATGCATTACAATAGCTGGCTTGCTATCTTTCTCCCCACTTCTGGCCTTAGTTTGTGCCCTGGAGTGTCTGTCTGTATTTTGTCTTGGGCCAGCTACCCAGCCCAAAAGCTAGAAGATATGAATTCTTCAAATGTCATCAATATACTGAACAGATGCTGGGTCAAGGGATTTTCTTTTAATTTCAGTTTGTTACCTGTAAAATTGGTCTGTTGAGCGCTATTCTTTTGTGAGAATAAATCAAATAAAGTGTCATGGAAACAAGAAAAAACACTAAAACAGGTCCTGATACCTGTGGTAATGGTGCCAGGCTGTCTTTCTCTTCCTGGTTTAGATCTTGGCCACTTGCTCTACACCAAGGCCTGGGAAAGTAATTCTTTTGGAATACAGCTCCTAGGATCCCATCGCCAACAAGCATTAACTAGCAAAGGTCAACTAGCTTCCAACCTGAGGATGTCACTGCCCATGCAGGCTGTAACAGTTCTGGAAGTACTAACTCCAAAATATTTTTCCCTCCAAGTGGCATACTCTTCAACAATGCTGGGGTTAGGGGTGTTGGACTCCGGTGTAGTTCAAAATCCATGTATACTTTTTATGCTGCCCCCAATTTATCAACAGAGCATCAACAGTTGGTTCGCTCATACAAACAAACAAACAAACACACAGAAAGAGAGAGAGAGAGAGAGAGATCACACACAGAGAGAGAGAGAGAGAGAGAGCTCCCAGCGCTCTCCCCGGCCACCACATGGAGCCACCATGACAGGAGAGGGGGTCGGCATCATCAGACCGGGGGGCTGCTGCACGGCCAACAACAGAGCCCTGGGTAAGCCCTGAGACCCATCTTTCTCAGGCCACTTCCTGGAGAATAGCTGCACAATATTTATTGAGTCTCTCTCTCTCTCTCTCAAAACAACAACAACAACAAACCCCCACAACTGTGTATAACTAAAACTGTGCTGCTCAGATCTGTGCAATTCAAGAGAAAAGAAGAAGTATATTTCTTTTTTTCTGGAAGAAAAAAAAGGTTCCAGGGCATTGCTAACCTGAAAATCACAGTCTTTGACCTGATTGCCAGGCCATAACCCTAGGTGCCAGGGAGCTGGCTGGCCAAAAGGTTTCCACACATATTTTGAAACAATAGTATATTGCTCCTCATACTCTGTGGACCAAAGACACCTTATGCCCCAAATCCTGTGTCTGTCCGAAGATGGACTCTGCTCTTGGTTCTGAAATAATTTTAGATTGAATTTACGATGCACTTTGCCTCCCTTTCTATGTTGAACTGAGGCCAGCACCATCCAGAGGTTAAGCAGGAAAGAACACTTTGTCCTATATTGCTGAAATATCTGCCTCTATTGGCAGTTCATATTCATGTCCAGATGTGAGACGCTTTTGTGGCTTACCTGCTGTAAAGGACCGGCAGTTCCTCTCTGAGTTCTTTGTTGAGTTCCTCAAACACAGCTTGGGCTTTATAGAACTCCTCTTCAGCCTGTAGGAACCAAGAGTTTAATGAAAGCAGAGGAAATGAAAGCATGAATCATGCAACCAAATTAATGTACCCCAAACCCTGGTCATCACCTTTGCCACCAGCCACGTAACCCATACACCTGGCCCATTATAAAATAGCTCAACGCCAGGAAGTTTTTCCTCCTAGAGCCAGGTGGAGAAACTATGGAGGGAATTAGAAAAGCTCCTGCCATCTTTCTCCATCTGCCATTTTCCTCTTCACTCCTTTTCTTGCGCAGCTAATGGTCTATGGCAGTGTTTCTCAAACTTTTGGATCTTACATTCCACCAGGACAGAATCAAAAAGCCCACTTCCCCCCACAATAAGAACATTTTAAATGCTTATAAATATTAATTCCTCCCGCTTCATTTATTGTCCACATTTCCATCAGTTCTTTCTTTACCCTATCCATTACATCCATATGTTGGAAAATACAGTATTGGATTCTATTTTCCATCTTCTTGCTTCCCTATAATCTTTTTTAGTTTTTAATCTTCATCGACATTAATTCATGTTGTTATTTTTATTATGTTAATATCAGTATCTACTATTTTTGAGATTAAATCTTGGGATACAAGTATAAAATCTATTCTAGAATAGCTATTATATACAGAAGAAGAATAAGTATATCTTTAATCTCCTTTCAGCTCTCTGTGCATTTTGCCTACAATCTCTGTCGCGGCATCTGTTTGTCTAAGGAGAAAAATGCAAGCATTCCTCACAATCAGAGGAATCAGTATTTATTTGATTTTACTTAAATGCTGCCCTTCTCCCTTTGCAGGGATTGAAGGCAGCTCACAATGAATTCATACAACATAATCAAATACAATTAAAAGCACAAAAGGAACATAATATTTAACAAACCACAATTGAACAGATAACAACATTAACCATTTCTGCATGGCTGTATCTGAAATGTTGGAAATACAGAGAAACCAAAGAAGCAGCTCCCTTGTACCAGTTCACACTCTTTGTTCCTAGCACCTCTCCTGCCAGTGTTAGGGAAAAGGTGACCCTCAGGCAGAAGCCAGAGTCTAGGAATATAGTAGAGAAGAGGAACATTTTGAGGGCCAAGGCCAGTTTCCAATTTTGGAAGAGCTTCAAGAGCCACATTCTCACGGCACGCCAGATTTAAAGACCTATGCATGGGTCCAAAACGGGCAGGGCCCAATATAATTCTTACCCACTTGGATGCTTCTCTGCAAAGAACAATTTAGTTCTATGCATGTCTGTTCAGAATGAAGGCCAAGTGTAACAACTCAGAGGGACACAAAACAGCAAATCACTTTTATGCCTCTTGGAGATAAAGGAGTGGGGTGTTGCATTCTTTTGAATCCTACAGATATTTAATAGCTCTGGTGAGTGATGCACTATTTTATAGACACAGCTCTAGATTCTGTCCATATTACACAGTCTGCCCATGTAACTTCAGATTTTTTCCAATGAGATTGTGAAGTTGAGTCTATTTCTTTTAGAACCCTGAGATAACTGGATTGCAGAGTAAGATCATGAACTAAGGTCGAGCCACACAAGATGACATTACAATTAGAAGCTCATAGCACATTTTCTCTACAGAGACATAATTCCGTATGAGCTGAACAATCAGACTTGCAAATGATGCCTGTGCTTACCTCCCAGTAACCAATCCAAAATAAAAGTAAGCTCATTTGCAACATGTGTAGCTTAGGAAATCTCATGGCTAAGATAAAAAGATGTCTTTATCCTTTCAGGGCAGCTTTGCTGCTAGTTACATGCATCTGATTTGGCTGACAGACTCTAGAACCCAAAGATAATCAGAGATGTGAGGTACAATACATTATTGACTAGAAGAAACCCTCTTCCTTGACCCAGCTCTAGATGGATTTTCCGGGTAACCTTTATACCTTTGCAATTTTCACGTCATCTTTCTTCTTGGCATTCTGCAGAGCCTCCAAATGATGCCTGCTGCTATCATAATCCACAAGCTTCCGTCCCCTCTTACCTATTCGCTCCTGTAAAGAAAGAGAACACATGAAAGATGAACCTAATAGTCCTCCCTTTCCCCCCTCTGTGTTATTTCTAAATCACAAGAACAAGAATATTTTATCAAAATCTCCCACTCTGAACTGAAAATTAGTCAACCAGTAGTGACACCAGTCAGAACATAGTAGGGAGACAAGATGACAGTGAGGTGATGCAGAATAATAATTTTGTGATGTGATGTCCTTTGATTCTGGAATGCTGGTGATTGTAATGTATAGCTTGTGTTGTTTATATAGTATATTGTATGATAAAAATCCTAGCAGAAACTGATTTCATCCTCACAAACTTCTCAGTACAGTATATTTTAATCACCTTTATGAGTAGTATCTAATGACAATGGCTGAAATTTGAGACATAAACTGCAAAGGATAACATTTAAACCTTCCTACTTCTAGATCTCACCCACCCCGACACTAATAATCTGTTCTTGCTGCTGCTATTGTTGTTAGTTCTTCATCATTAACACCACAATAATTAAAGAGTATATTTTAAGCACTTTAATATCAGAAATATGAGAATTCTTTGAATTTTAAGTTTAGAAACTTAAAAAAAAAAATCTTATCAGAGTTCCACATTGCATTCTAGCTACTGAATATTGCAAAGGCAATCCTGAAAGTACAAACCTTAATTTCATTGAACTGGCTCAAGTAATTCTCCATGGTCCTGACTGCCTGATCTGCCAGTTTCTCCTCATAATCTTCCCACAGAAGGTCATTGCTCTGCAGATTAAAAAAAAGGTGGAGATATTTCAAAATGCCTTTGCAGTGTTACACACCTTCACACGTGCACCTCCTGCCTCTATCAATCTCTCTATCTGAGGTAAGCAACTTGTGGCCCTCCTGATGTTGTTGAGCAACACCATTCATCATTGCTATACTGGCTAAGGCAGACAGGATTTGCAGCCTGTAAACATCTGGAGGGCTACAATTTGCTCACACTTCAGCCACTGCCCTATATTCAGTAATCATGCAGTGGAGGGGCAGTTGCATATGTGTTCCTGTGGCTTTGGCGCACCACCCATTCTGCGCTTTATCTCTCACAAGAGGAAACGTTGACCACTAATTCCCATAGTGGTGCTGCTGCTCCCATCAATCTTGCAGTCCTTTCCAATGGTGCAGTGGAAAATCTGGAAGTTCAGTGCTTGTCATGATATATCCCACAGACACACAGCCCCAACGGGAGAGTCTCCAAATGCAAACAGGTGGATCGGTCCATAATGACAAATGAGGAACAAGTCTGTTGTAAAACCAGCAGCTCTTAATGGCCCATTCAAGATTGAACTGCCCTCACATATTTTGCATTAGAACAAAAATAATTTCCCACAATGTATGTATTACTCCTGGAGGAAAATCCATTTCTTTACCCATCACTATGATAGTTTCAGCTAAACACTGCAGGAACAGAAAGACCTGGTGGGAGGTGATAGATAATATCATAGTCCGGGCTAGTCAGAAAGTTTCGGGGCTCAACCCTGTGAACTCAGACTCCGCTACCTCACTGGCCCTCTCTGGATCATTTAAAAGACAAAGAATTTGCTGGAAGATCAGAATCACAGGTGTCCCACCAGAATGGTGGGATAGCTCAAGAAAGCTAGAGTTGTGACAGCCAAGGAAGGCCACGCCGCAAATCTTAATACAGCTCCAAGCTCACCCTCCTATTGCCTCAACTCCAACCTGCACATGGAAATAAATATACTGGACTACCTTACAGGGCAATTGTAAAAAAAAAGTTTGCTCTTATAGAAAGTGCTCCATTTTATTTTCAATTTCAGGATGTCCCCGACAACAGAGGTAACAGAGAGGCCCCAGACTCACTTGTACAATGGCTTTCAAGTCTTCATACCCGTCCCATTCCTCATTGTAGATTTCTTGCAAGGTCTCAGAGACTTTTTTGGAGCTTTCATGCATCACTGCAAAAGGCAACACAAAATACAGCAAAAGTGGGACTGCCTGTAAGTCATCATGAAACTTAGCCAAGTCATTCTCCTCACTGAGTTAGCAACTGAAATTGTGTAAAACCTCTGGCCTTTAACCAAGGTGGTCATCCCATAGGGTAAGCTGTTTGTCAGATAAATTCCTCTATGCTTTTGTGGCCCTTTTAAAATCAGCTAGTGGATCCTCCCCACCTCCGTTCCTTCTCTGAGGCAGTTTATGATGGCGTGGTGAAAATAATCTGAGCTGTGACAAAAATAGAAATAAGTGGATTTGGCTGTGGGAAGTTTCTCGACTGGTCCTTTAAGAGAAACCAAAGAAAACAATATTATTTATTTAAAAATAAAAAAAATCAACACAACACTTTAGCTATAGTCTATCAGAGTCTTAAAATAAATTTCATTTTTCCTGCCTCTTCTCCAAGGAGCAGAGGAAGAGTTCAATTTGTTGATATCCTGAAGTGGCTTACTTATTAAGCCATTTCAGTATATCAGAAGGAGCTGGACCACATAGGGTTGCATGCCATTTGGATGAGATGATTGTACGAAATGGCATATCACACCTCCAATCAACCCCAAGGGACCCTACTTAGCCTACACCAGCCGGCTCCAAAAGAATCATTGTAGACAAGGCCTAGGTTTGGGGACAACAAGGCCCCACACAGGCACAGCCTAGTGTGTGTGTGTGTTTGTTTAATTCTGGTTCTAGAAAGGTGAAGAAAGAGGCAAGATTGCTTGCACAAGTGACTCTCTACCACTAGGGTGCAACAGAGATAGAGACAGCCAGCAGCTTTACTGCCTAAAAATCAGCTTTTTGGCTTTGTTGCCTCATAGACAGATATTCTCAGGCTTGGCTTCTCTTCATCTCATGCCTCTTTTCCCTCCTCTCTTTCTCCCGACGAGCTCTTCAGTCAGAGAAAGCAGGCTGCATTTTCTCCCTAACCAAATGTGTGCTTCCCTTCACTACCTCTCAACATTGTACTGATGATGCCAAGCTTCAGTTTCCATATTTGCTAACGTAAGATGCCCTACCTCCTAACCTCTTATAAAGGGAATTCTGGGTGAGATGTGCATGAATTTTGGTGAGAAAGCCTTTTTACTGGAAAGACCAGGGTGGCCTCATTATTGCACTTAGCCCATTCAGACCTAAATTCAAGTCTCTGTCAGTTGCGGCTCTCAACAAGAAACGTTAAGCTGTTTACTATTTCTTTGCTTAACTAACTTCATATAAATTCAAGTCCCTGTCAGCTGTGGCTGTTTACCATTTCTTTGCTTAACTAACTTCATGGAGTTGTTGCTTGGGAGAAAAGAGTAAGAAGAGCATATATATTCTTAAGAGGTCCGGGGGGGGGGGGGGGGGCATCATTTTTTAATGGACCTGTGTAGACTTGGAGAGAAGATGACAGAGCATCTGTCAAAAAAAAAGGGGGGGGAGGCCTCCTCAGCGAACCTTTCTGAGCAGACAGGAGAACAGATGAGATTGAAAGAGACAAACAGATGGAGAAGCTCTCTCCTATCTTGATTTTCTACGCTGCTTGATTGTGTAAGGAATTGCCTTCAGAGGCTGTGGTAGCTGACTTATTAATGTTGCAAAGAGATCAGAGCTAGAAGTTGGCTCTCTGTACCTTTGACTGCATTGAGGAAAGCCTTAAGGTCCTTATAGAGTTTGTGACCTTCAGCCTATAGAAAAGAAAAATAAAGAAGAGACTCAGCAAATAATACTGCCAGATGTGTGAGCTGTACATTTCTGCCTGTTGTTTCCAATCCATCTCTTAGGTAGTTGGGAGGACCCTTTCCATCCCATGTTGAAAAAAAAATCAACAGGCAAGTTGCTAGGCTGTACTATTAGGCCTACCCTCAAAGGCTTGCAGTGGGGCCTTCACACCTCACTGCCTTGGCTTGTAGGAAAGGTGGCTGTATGAATGTGCCCCCCTCGGCACATGTTTCTAGACTGGCTGGAGCTTTTGTCTGCATGTTCAGAACAAGAAAGAGAAGATTCCCAAGGAGTGGAGCCTATTCCTTTCACAAACAGAGCAACTGTTCAGAATTTTCCTTTTGTGGACTACAACTCCCAGAATGATAGACTGGCTGGAGCTTTTGTTTGCATGTTCAGAACAAGAAATAGAAGATTCCCAAGGAGTGGAGCCTGTTCCTTTCACAAACAGAGCAATTATTCAGAACTTTCCTTTTGTGGACTACAACTCCCAGAATCCGCCAGCCGGTATGTCGACAAAAGTAACTTTTCTAAACTCTGCATTTGCTTCTGGGACCAGGTCACATATATCTTAACTATAGATTTCTTCCTCATAGTGCCTCCTCCCTCTACTTTAGGAACTATTAAGACTAATATATAAATATAAAGAAATTCTCATCTCCTCAAGTTGTCCAGTTTGTATCAAGCAAGCTGGAAAAATCCAAGGAAATCCTGGTGCAGAGGTGATTCTAATTCGAGTAGGCTAGAAAAGTACAGGGGACTTCACAACATTATACCCTCCGTCACCCCAACATCTACAGAAAGCAGAGGATCTCCCACTCTAAGAGAAAAATGACCTGCTGCTGCTGGAAGTTGAGTGCACTTTGCTCAAACTGTTCATCTTTCGTTTCCACCGTTTTCCCCAGTTTCTGCAAAACCTGAGTAGACAGAGGAATAAAAATAAAAATAGCACACTGTTGACATCTTTTCTTATATATAAGAAAAAAATATATATTTTAAATTATAACCCTTCCACCACAGTTGAGCTTATAAATAAATAGGACTACTAAACAGTGTTAAAACAAATGAAAAGCCAGAACTCAATATGTGACACCTTTCATGTTATCTCATTCTGGTTCTGAGAAGAGCTTCAGTTGTCAAATGCTGACTTGTCATGCAGCTGTTAACACCTGCAAGAGAAACACACCCTCCTTCATAGGCTTTTTGACCATGCATTTTAAACAATTTGTTTACTGTTCGGCTGCTCTCTGCAGCTGCACACAGACAGCGGTGGCTTGATAAGAAGGAATGCTAAGCGAAGGGAGCAGGGGATTAGGAGAAACACTTGAGTATCCAGCATTTCTAAGTGCCAAAAACAGGTGACATAGAAATTATCTGTGTCATATTTGCAGCAGGATATAGAGACTGAGGGCGGGTGACTTCTTTCAGTCATTGTTTTGAAACCTCTGTATTGCACCTACATGGCCTCGGGTCCTACTGGTTCAGAACCACTGCTCTAAGAGGACCCAATTTTCCATTTTGAACTTCTATACAAATAAGAACGGGAAACCAGGGTCAGCATAATCACTAAAGTCACTTCCTATTGCAGATAATTGTGAGCTTGGGGGTTCAAGAGAGGGCAAAGGAAACCAATTCTTTTCCTCAGCCAGTTTCATCACTACCACACTCAGGTAAAAACATCTAGAATTACTAGTTTTGGTAGCACTGAAATGTGAACTTGGTCTCTGAGGCTGAAAGGGTAAGAGATCTAAAACCATGCTAAGTTTGACACAAAACAGTCCCCTTGTATTTGTTGGCAGCTTGTCCTTACCTTTCAGGTTAGATTTTTTTTTGCTCACTTTATTTAATTTTCAAGCTTGTGTTTCAGGAGGGAGAGGAAACCTTTATATTACTGTACTTCTGCTTTTTAAAAAGTGACTGTCATAATAAAAGAGCCTGCCTTGTTTGCATGCCAACAACAATATTTACATGCCTTGGGAGCTATATATCCTGCCTTCAGACATATATATCCCTTTTTGTGGTTTCTTTCGCCCTTTCCTACCCCATCTCTTATCCTTAATAATGCCAGGGGAAAAGCATGTCCTTACCATAAAAGGATTGCCTTCGGTATTTATCAGGAGCAACAGATTGACTTCTGGGCAGTTATAGGAAACTAACCGCGTCTCCCAATCTATGTGGCCTGTTTACAGTGATACTGCACTCTGCTAATGTAAGAAACACAGGAACTGCCTTGATGGAACAGACCAAGGGTCCTTTTAATTTAACATCGCTAACAGTGAACCCAAAGAGACACGAGGCAGAAGGAAGTGAAAGGAGATCCCAGAATAAATTTCAGAAGGCACATAATGAGAAGACAAGTGTCACTGTAAAAGACCATAGTGCTAGAGAAAATGGGAGGGTGTAGGAAAAGAGTAAGACCAGACCTGATATGTATTGACTCAATAAAGGAAGTCATGACTTTCAGTCTGCAAGACCTTAATAGGGCTTGTTAACAATAGGACTATTTGGAGGTCATTAGTTTGTAAATCAGAAATGACTTGACAGCTCATAAGCTCTAGTATTTCTACTGGAGTTTTCGTTACATATGCGGCAGAAAAGGAGCCATTTGTAGCTCTTCACAGATAGAAAACCCCAAGATTTCAGTTGCCACCGAAGAGGCTTTGAGTGTTCCCCTTTTGAAGCCCACAAAGCGACAGCACAGAGACTGGCCTCCAAGGCCTACTCTATGGGCCAGGCTGGTTCCTTGGGGACCTCACGAAAGAGCTGGGACATAAGCAGCATTTTCAGTGGGTGTTCCCTAAGGAAATGGTACCATTTGAGAAAAACAGCCTTAAAAGGGAGCACATAATGTTTGCTGAAAAACTGAAAAGTAGATGACAAATTTTCTTTTGGGTGATAATCCTAATTAAGTCACAAAATTTCAGATTTTAAAGGGACCACTGGGGAAAAGAGATAGCAATGATTTTCTGTGTATTGAAGGTACTATATTTATTTAGCCATCATCTCTTGTTCTGACAGTTCAACATGCAAAATATAGCAGCATTTTGCTTGAAAAAGATGAACAGATATGAGGACAGCTGCAATGGGTCTCTTCTACATCACATCCTGCTTTACTGCCTCAGTCATAGCAGGAAATGGAGCCCCTTCCACCCACATCATTGGTGCACAGTGCTTTACTGCCTCAGTCGTGGCAGGAAATGGAGCCCCTTCCACCCACATCATGTTATAGTCTTGTCGTTGGACATTGGGGAGTCATGGTACATGGCACCTCATAATTACCAAGATATTTTGCCCCCTGAGGCAGAAAATCCTACAAGCACCTCTTTATTACAGTCCCTGGCCATAAAAACACACCAATACTAAATTACGTAATAAGTATAATCTCCTACCTGAGGTAGAGACCCCACTCTGCCTAAGATCCAGCAGGCCCCTATAATCAAGGTTTTCTTACTGCACCATAGAGATACTTTGTATGTGAAGAAACTGAAAAATACAGGAATGTGGGACTTGGACTCTATCTGGAAAAATCAAGCTTCTTTGTGAGTGCCTGAGAAATTGTCTGGGAGTTGTTAATGGTCAGTGTCTGCTTGGTAACAAGGAGTGGGGGCACCTGTGGCTTATCTCTTGAGAAGGAGGCCTTCAAAGCCAGACTGGCTGGTCCACTGGTGGTACCCTGTTAATTGGGGAAGTGACTTCAGCTGTGAGAAAGCAGAGGGGGACAGAAAGCGCTCTGGTCTTCTTGAACATTTGAGGAAGCTTGATTGGTAAGTTATCTGGAAGGATCTAGTATTGGGCTTTTAATGTACGAAAAGGGGTTGAAAAATGATTTTAGTTGGCTTTGTTTAACTCAAGTCTCAGGAGATGCTATGTTCTGGTGCTGTCCTGCAGTAAAGGATACACTCTGTCCATGCCTCAGAACCATGCTGACTTCTATATTACTCGGCCAGTATTAAGTAGACTAGTTTAGCTTTCTTATTTTCTGGTGTGTCTCCCTGATTACCTTAGTTTTGTTTCAACATTATTTTTGCTTGAAGTGCTTTTTTGTCCTTCTACAGTATTCTTTAATACAATATAAAAGCTACTCCAACCAACTGCCTGGCTTTTTGGCTCAGAGGTTTTGTGGTATTATTAACTCCAGGCCTTCCCCTTGACCATCTATCTGCCAGGAGTCTTGGTTCTGTTGTGAGTGTGGGGGCAATTCTACCCTGCAAGATGAGTGTACTGGTCCTAAATGCCTAGCTTTGTAGGGTTGTTGACTCCCTACAAGAACTACCAAGACGGGTGAGTTGGAAGGCACAGAGGCCAGGCCAGTTTCATCATCCTAACTACAACCCATTCCCCTGCCTTCTCCCACTCCTGGACAGACAGAGTGGTGTGGCTGAGCATCTATAGAAGTGCCCCCTGAACCTGGGCAACCTTCACAACCCATTTAAGGGGAGACAAGCTGGCTGTGGTTTTTCTTGCTCATTGCACACACGTATATGTGATTTGGCAAGCCTCATCTGCACACACTCCTTTTCAACACTGTGCAACAAATATTGCATTCTGTTTATGTCTCAGAATAAAACCAGGAGCTTTCTATAGTTCCCCACATTCTAACTCTGTAGTTATAGACGAATAACATTAGATGAACAGAGTGGCTGAGAAAACTTCAAAAGCTAGGGGCAAGAAAGGCAACTACCTGCTGGGTAGCTGTATTAATTCACTCTGCTCACCAGATAGTGCTTGAATAACATAGATTTAAACTAGGATGTAAATGTAAGTTAGAACCTGGAGGGTAATCAAATACTAGATACGTGGAAAGTTGAGTTGATACTGTAACATGAATAGATTGGATGTCAGTACATTTTGTGTTTCTCCTCCGCTTCCTTTCTCCCCCATATTCCCCTTTACCCTCTGTATCCCTTACCAAAAATATATATATAATTAATTCTGCTTTGGATTTCGACCTCAGCAGCCAGCCTTTCCAACTTAGCACACTTTGCACATATAAGCGATGGTGTACAGTATTCCAGAACCATGCTGCTTCTCATTATTGGTTTGACTGTGATGGCATCACTCAAAGAATAGTAATTCGGAGAGGGAATTGTTAAAGATGTCTAGCAGCATTCAGAGGACTGCATTTTGTGGGCTCTCCCAGAAGAAAAACAAGACTTTACAATCAATTTGCCCATGAAGTAGTATACTCCACAGTGTCTAGACTGTCTTCTGTAAAGCAGTCCTTTGTGTATTATATTCAGTGGCAAAAGCACATAGCCAAATAAGTAGTGCATTAAGTATAATGTTGTGTTCTTAGCCTCTATTTTGGTCACTCTTTGATGGTATGGAATGTAAATGGAGTGAGTAAAGTAAATTGTACTCTTCTTCCTAGTATTTTTGCTGTTCAGAAGAGCAAAATAATTATACCTTATTGTGAAAAGGAAGCTACATTTCTCTCTTTGGATGTTATCGTGGAAGGGTAAACCACATGTACATGCATAAATCTCCTGTATGCTTACTTTTATCACATGATCACACAATTTCAAGGCAACCTTAATATGTGAGGCAAGTGAAATAAGGCAAGTGTGTTATTAGGAGTAGTGTAGCATGTGGAGCTACCTAAATCTACTACAAAATAATGCAGAATAAATACCAAGATTTATGTATTTCTTTGTAAATATGTTTTGCTGCACCTTGTCATTAAAATGCTTGAAACAGCCTACATCATTGAAAAACATTAAATCAGCAATCATGAATACAAACTAAATGCAGAATCTTTTGGAAATCTGGAAGAGTTATGTTGGTTCTGGATAGAGTTCTATAATGCATCAAGTCTTTCTTTCTTTCTTTCTTTTCTTTCTTTTCTTTCTTTCTTTCAAGCATTCCTCATGTCACCACCTAATTAACTGTTCTCAGTGGCGGTACACAGAGGAGGGCC